CATGCATATACATATATTATATATGTATATATATGCAAATTCAAAATTATTTATAAACGCAATTGCTTGTGAGGCAGAGAGAGAAACGGAAAGAGAGAGACAGGTTTTATTAGGCGTACATATGTTAATTTTGTTTTTGCCTTGTCCTTTAACGTTGATAAATCTATCATTCATTGATATGTCCCTAATTGATCCCATTTTTTCGGTTCACTTTCAGATTCAGATAAAAATGAAACGACAAATATGCAGAAATCAAAATCTTTATCTAATGTTGGACATTTTGTATCAAAAAAAATTTGGGGAAGTCGCTCCAAGGGTCAAAATAGACAAAATGATAGTCACGACTTTGTAGCACAGCAACATAAATGGACCCCTCTGGTAAGAAGTATATAATTATAAATATTGAAGATCAACCTGTTGAATGATGTTATTATACACTTTTTGACATGTCATTTCCGTAGGAGAAATGCTCATGGATATCTGAAGAAGGTCAGATTCTCCAACTAACAGATACGTCATTGGAAAAACTTTCAAATATCGAAGCTGAGGTGCTAATGCACATAGCGCTACAAAAAATCAAGGAGCTAAATATTGGCATGAGCATAGGTAAATTATTCGAGGTGTTGCATATTCAAATTCTTGGTACAAAATTATACTTAGATTATGCATATTTATTTTGATTCAGATTTAGATCGAAGCACGCAGAAAAGTCGAGCTGTATCAAAAAAAAGAGCACTTACAACAAGTTTTTTTGATATTGGCCGAAAGGATGAACACAGTAAGTAAGATTTCTACACCCTGAACCCATTTAAAATTGAAATTTCGTCCGTCTGAACGTCTCTCCGTCTATCCGCCTGCCCGAAATTTACATATGTCATTTCCTTTTTGTTTCAGAGTTTTAATGTAGTCTTTTTGACGTATTATATAGAACCCATTCTCTTCCAATTAGACTCCCCAAACTATACTCTATATTATTCTTGACCATAAATATACCTATTAATCACTGTAACAGTCCGACTTTAAATACGAATTGTTTGTTTTTATACCCTTACCGCATTAAAATGGGAAATAAGGCTAAAATGTATATAATTGACAGAAGCGGACGCAACAGACCCCATAGAGTATATATATTCCTCAGTTCGTCCGTCGCCTAGATCCCCCATCACATGTATTACTCGTGTATATTACACACACTACAATTTTTTCCTATTTATCCTTCGATAGTTCTTCCCATTTCGTTTTTAATGGCGACTGTATATTTTTTAAACCTAATTTCACAAATTAAAAAAAAAAAAAAAAAACTTACAAATTTAGAAAGACTTTTACTTTGGCAAATACACAAACTTGAATGTATCACTTTGATATAAAAGCTCTACAGAAAATTTTTTCAGCATATGAATTCCCATAACATCGCCCAAATAAATTTCCAAAATATCAGCTCAAGCGAAGGCTCTGCGTCAATTGCGCATTTAGCAGACTGCGTGCATATACGTGCGTGCGGACGCATGCATACATACATATGTCGGAATAAAGTGGTTTTTTTTTTTTTTTTTTTCTAATTGTAATATCAGCACTTTGGGTTCAGGGGATTTTCTAGTCGAGCAGTGTCGACTAGAGCACTCTTCCATGTTTTTCTTTCTCTTGCTAATTTATGTAAAAAAAAAAAAAAGATGGACGTGATCATTTATTTGGAGCTTCTTTGGAGTGCTGCTTATCAAGAGACAAAAAGCAATGCGGAGAAGTGGAAACAGGCTCAAAACAGTCGCTGACATCAGTATTTCGGAGTAATCGAGTTGGAAAGCTGAATGATAATGTAAGAATTTGTATAAGACTTATAGTGACAGTAAAGGATGTGCAAATTGTATTCAACGTGCCACTGAGTGCAGAAATAACGTAAATTTCGCTTCTATCGATATTTGCATAAAATGGAATTTCCAGTTAGGAACAGTATAAAAAGCATTTTTACATCTGGATAAACTTTTCAAAATACTAAATTATGCATTCTTTCGTAAATGCTGCGAAATTATACTCAACATAGAAGAAGCGAGAATGACTGAATTCTCAATTGCTATTTTTCCCATTTATTGCTCACTTGTAGGTGCGGTCGTATGAGAGCTTGCCAACTAAGTCGATGGATTACGGACGTTGTAGCCCTTCAGATCAGGTGGCTTCTTCTACAAACTACCTAAACAATCTTCAAAAATTCTCATCAATGTCATTGAAAATGTCACGGAGTCAGTTTGATATGCGAAATGTTGAGCTCGACCTCGATGGGATATTATTTACAGACTCCAAAAATAGTTCAGCAATGAATGTTCCTATGTTTGTAACAATTTGTATAGAATACTTGGAGGAATATGGACTACAAAAAGTTGGACTCTTTAGAGTTAGTACATCTCAAAAGCGTGTGAAACAAGTAAGTCGAGAAAATATTCATATAACTCCTTGTTTAAAGCAAATTTACTAACCAGGAACAATGATTTAGTAAATTATATTTAAGTCAGGGTAGATGAACACTTAGCCGAGCTATAAAAGAATATATAAGTTAAGCGCACCCACACTAGAGTACTAGTGATTGGGGACGCTGTGTTGGGTTCTTGTRAATATATAACAACTTGGTGTTCGATGAAATAATATATTTGATATAATTTGGAACAATAGGTCTGAACTGTGTCTGGTCCGAATATAAACTGAACTAAATCTGTTCAACTGGTTAGGTTCTCCCCTTGAATGTCTGACTGGATTCTCCAGCCTCCTTAGATTGTCGAAAGTCTTAACTTATATACTGGACTCGTTTGTCCGTATGCTTGAATGAGATCACGAAACGTTGAACCTAGAATCATAAAATTATGTTTAACTGAATGCATATATATATATATATTCTTGATCAGGGCGACRAGCTGAGTCGATTTGGCCCTGTCCGTCTGTCTGTCCGTATGTCTGAACGCTATTTCAGTTTTGCCATCACACTTTTAAAAAGTGAAATGTCATTGTGACTAGCAGTGCGACGCTTGATCGAGAAGTCTCGGGTTCGACTCCAGAGCACGCTATTTATGTTTATTTGAATTGTTTCAAAATACTTAATTTTCCCAATTGCAGCTATTAAAAGTGTGTCATGTCATTAGTTTTTGCAATACACATGTACATAAATATTAATGTATTACACTGTATAATTAAGTAAGTTTTTTATATTTTTAAATATATCAAAATAGAAATTTTGAACCTTACTAAATGTGCTTTTTTCTTAGTTTGGTTAAGGGTAGTATTATTATTATTTGGAGTCTGTAAATAGTATCTAGTCGAGCACACTCGACTAGAGTTTTCTTACTTGTTCATCTATTTTGTTTTTGGAACTTTTTTTCAGCTTCGAGAGGAATTCGATAAAAACTGCAATATGCGCATTCCTGATAATACATGTCCACATGATGTAGCAACATTACTAAAAGAGTTTCTACGGGATTTACCTGAGCCCCTACTGTGTAAAAGATTTTATACAACTTTTTTGGAAACGCAACGTAAGACAAACACAAAGATATATTTATGTATGTGTATCTTGTTGTATTGCTAAAATTATTTTCCTAGGCATAAGAAACCGACGTCTTCAACTGGAAGCGATATCTCATTTAATCAAATTATTACCCATCGCACATCGTGATACATTATATGTATTACTAAAGTTTCTGGGCAATGTAGCTGCCCATTGTGATGATATATGCAATCCAGATGGCACCGTTCATATTATTGGCAACAAAATGGATAGCAACAATCTATCCACCGTCTTTGCCCCCAACATTTTGCGTGATTATCCACCAAAGTCGGGCGAATACAAAGAGCAGGGCAACATGGCCGATGCCATCAATGTAATCAGGTAAGATTATTAGTCATATTAATATAACACATTGTAGTTATTGATTGAAGCAATAACGAAATGGTTCGCCCTTATGCACGGGCATTGTTTCTGCCAATTAATTTCATGCTTCCTTAGGGATTTTATTAAATGGATGGATTTGATGAAACAGTTTACAAAGCCAAGCATTTTATAGAATATTCGAAGCTCCTTAATGAATTGGAATCCTTTTTATACCCTGAACCCATTTTCAATGGGAAATCAGGGTATAATGGTTTTGTTGAAATGTATGTAACAGGGAGAAGGAGGCGTGGCAGACCCCACAAAGTATATATATTCTTGATCAGGGTGACGAGCTGAGTTGATTTGGCCCTGTCCGTCTGTCTGTCCGTCTGTCCGTCTGTCCGTCTGTCCGTCTGTCCGTNTAAATTCACCCCCTCACCCTCACTTTTGTAAAAAGCGTATTTCAAATACTAGAGACTTGTGCTTTGGCAATTACATGCATATTCATGTTATAATCATAATCTGAAAGTTTCATGAAGATCGTATAAAAAAAGTTATTAAACAATTAAGTTCTCATAATAAGCGCACACTGCAGCCCATGCGTGTTTATGCGTGGGTGCTTGTGTGTGTATGTGTTTGTATATGTGTGTGTATGTGCATGTGTTTGTGTATGTGTATGTGTGTGTGTGTGTGTATGCGTGTGGGTGTGTGTATGTGTGTCTGTATCCGTGTGTGTGTGTATGTATACCTGTGTGTGCGTACGTGCGTGTGTGTGTGTGTGTGCGTGTTTCTTGTGTAAGCTGAAAGACGCGTGTGTGTGTGTGTGTGTCTATTGCTCCAAGGGTTCAGGGGATCTCGTAGTCGAGCAGTCTCGACTAGAGCTTTCTTACTTGTTATACCCTGAGCCCATTGAATTGCCAATATCATCAGGCCCTATCAATCAGGCCCTATGCAGCAGCGTCAGGACTCAAATCCGCTCAATTCTAACATGACGTCCATCACTTCATGTTATCATCATCCATGAACATAAATGGGAAAGATAGTCCGTGTTTGAACAACATATTTTCATTACTTAACGGCATTCGATTAAATTTCCACGACATTTCCACATTAACATTTTGTAAACAATTCCAGCTAATTCATAAGATGCGATGCCTGAACTGACACTCACAGGGAAGATTGATATTATTTAAAGATGGGCCATACCTTAATTGTATAAGGTGCACATCTGCGAATTACGAGACTCCATCTATAAAGAAGTGCGAGATATATGTGATATGGCTTTTAATAGATCTATTTGCGCATGATATAAAAGAACGTACGATATAAATGAATTAAATTAAATTCTCTAGCTTTTATAAGTTCTGAGATCGACGCGGTCAAACATACGTACAGACGGGAGCATACATGTATATTTAGCCATTATACCCTTATTTCCCAATTTTAATGGATCCAGGGTATACAAACCCAACTCATTCGGGCTTTCTAGTTGGCCGACCGACTAGAGTGTTCTTACTTGTTTTAATTTATAATTATTATTGTTCTTCTTTACTTTGCAGAATAATGATTGACCACTATGAAGAAATCTTTAGAGTCCCTGTAGATCTTGTAGATCTACTTTACACTCATATGTTAGACACATGTCCAGAACAATTAAACATTCTTATCACGTCTAAAATAAATCAATCTGCAACGTAAGAATTTCTACTACACTCTTTCTAAACTAACTGAGAAATAAACTCATTTTATTGTTATTTTAAGCTGCTTTCTGATTATTTATAGACAAATGAAATAAAGGTTAAATTTTTTATATGAGGTAAACAATCATTCCATTTTGATTAGAGGGCGAATAAGTCCTTGATCAGGGTGGCGAGCTGAACTAACCTAGCCCTGTCCATCCGTCCATTTCTCAACATGAGAGCTCCGATCTCGAATTGTACAGCTAAAAACTTGAAATTGAACCATAGTTTTGGTTACTATACCTTAACCTACTTATCGAAGCTTTATTTCAATCATAATTTTCTTTATATACATCGATAAATAAATAATGTCTCTTTTTGATAGATATCTCAAATCAAGATATATCGGATTTTACCCAATATTTGAAGCCCTAATATATGGAATTTCTGCTAGTTTAATTTTATTGTCTGTCTTTCAGCTCAAACTTTTCCTATATACCAAAGTTTGTACGTTTTATCCCCGCTGCTTTCCAGCTACAACTCCCAAGCTCGATAAGCATGTATTGAGTTCATTCTCCTTAAATATTTACCAAAAAATTATAAATATATCTACGCGTAGAGGGCTCGTGGCAAATCGAAAAATGAAAAAAGACAGGTTTAGTTAGCAATAAGAAACATTAGGCTCCCAAAATGAGTAATCAATGACGCGCTGTTACCTAAGTTTCATTAACAATTGCTACCTCTGATTCGTGTTGATGGCTATTTAATATGTGTAAATATGCATAATGTTTTCCGTTTGATTTGCTTTCCAGTACGCAGGTAGAGAGATTAAAATCTATAGAGAATCAGACGAGCCTCTCAGATAATACATACAGTCCAGTACTTTTACCTGACGGCAGGCGACAATCAACACCGATCCTATTAGAAACCCAAAACGTGTTCTCAGCCAGCTTACAGATATCTAAACCAGACGAATCGGCCCCAAAACCAACGACTAAGATCAACCAAATGCAAGGTATGTATATTATACTGCGGTTTTGACTAGAGTAAATGATTTTCCTGTACACTTGCATTCCAAGTATTTATATATCCTATAACTATTAAAAAATGGAATGGTATAATAAATGGTTGGTTTAAATAAATCAATCCCCTATAAATTTAATAAAATAAAATTTAATTTCCTTAACTTACTTATAATTATAGAGAGTACAGTTCAAGTGGCGAGCATATCTGAGCCGAAGCTTCCGACTAGTATATCGAATATAGGCGGAGCCACATTGTGCGCAAAGACGGCAGAGTTTGAGAAAAACCACATGACGAAAGCTTCAATTCCATCAGCAAGGGCTAAACCACTCTATAAACGACAACAGTTGATATCCAGCTCCAAGCGATAATATACCGGAAAATAAAATTATGCAAAATATGCACAGTTTGTTTCCAAGCAGTGTTTCCAAGCAATGTTTTATAAGCTGTCAACGGTCATGCCAATATATATACATATGTACAAATGTGTGTTTGTAATATTTGTCAGTTAATTCAGACGTGAAATATTTACATAGTCCAACATATATACTCATACGTGTATATATTCTATATATATAAAACAAAGTTGTGTAAAAGTGTTCCAACACTTGATATGTGCTGGATCAATTTTCATGGTTTTTGATATGTTGGATTTGTCTCTCTCTGAAATAATTTGACGAATACTTCAAAAACGCGTTTTTTTCTTATTAATTTCGGAGCTGTCAAATTTTCAGTGATACCCAGTGGGCTTGATAACAGTGACAGTTTTCGGTCCTGCTCTCATGTTATGCAATAGTATAGAAGTAAATAAACAAATGTAGCCGCGATAGTACCCAGCGAAGAAGGGCCTTAATTCGTGCTTCTCAAAGAGAGGCAGCCCGTGAAACGGCAATAAGAAATGGTTCAAGGATTGATTTGAATCGAGCAGCGGTTCGATATGATTGCACCATTGAGAACAGCTTGAATTGTTTAATTTGCATTGGCCCAATGGAAGTTGTTTGCCAGCATTGTGGCGCAATAAAATTTGCTGGTGAAACGCGCCTGCCTTTGTTGTAAAGTGGAATTACCATTAGTCGTCCCGCCACAGAGCCATTGCGTTCCCTACTTTTCTAGCGAGCACTCAAAAATACAATGCCTGTTTCCAAATGACTTCATTTGTGGCGAAGATTATTGAAGAACACGAATATAATCCAACAATCGATGGCAATCCTGATTGTTGGTGAAAGCTTGGAAGCACGCGATATTGTGTTTACACGACGCAGTACTGGGCAACTACAAAGAATATCTGAAACGCACCGTTCATATGACGTTTTACAATACCCGCTGATGTTTTGGCAAGGAGACGATGGATATCACTTTAATATCAAAATGATTAATCCATTGAATGGTAAAATCANTATTATTACATATGACTATAGGAATTATAATTAATGTACTTTCGGTATGTACTTAAAATTTGTTTGTATTCGTTTTATATTTCTATTTTTTTTTCGGTAAAGTTGATTCATTTACATTCGTTCCCTTGGAATATTCTTGCAAACTATAATTAAGTTATGTTATATATGTATGTATATCTATAACTTATCTTAGGTATGTAACTGAATGAGCGTTTCTTAAAGGCATACTAGCCTAAAAGTATTGCACATGTCTCCGGATACGAAAACAAGGAATGCACCAATCGGAAAATAAAAACCGTGAGCTTAGCCTTTTCATGCGATACAGTTGACGACCACTTTCCCACAAAGAATCGAATGATTGGGTCGATTCTTATATTCGTTTGATGTCTCAAAGATTGATAAAACAGCTTAAGCTGTCGGAGCCATAAGTGAACACTTTGGATAAAGCCGTCGAATATATGGAGTGATGTATATCATATACTACTTATGTCCTTCGGAGAACCGCATAATTTACACAAATCCATTAACTAAATCCAACATGTTTTGTATATAACATTAATGTAGTCCGCTTGATTTGTTTTCTTTTTCGTTATGCTTCCTTTGAAATTATGTCTAAATATAGTAAGTTAGTCATCTTTGACTTCGATGTATGAAGAGAATGTTTAACATGTTCAACAACAATTCTTCTGATATGATGAAATACGTAATTATGATTGCAGTGGAAGCATTTAAGACGCTCGCAACACTCGTCTGCATTGCTGCTGGTTGCTCACCTATGAAGAAAATACAAATACAAAAAATACATTTATTGACATTAATTTTAAAACGAGGACGGAAAACTATTTCAACTATTTCAAAATAACTTCATATACATAGGGACATAAAATGGACTTGGTTTGAGCTCGTGCTCCGGGAAAAAGCCCAGATATGCACACAAAAAGCAGTGAGGGAAATCTACTCAGTACGAGTCAGCCCCGAGGTGGTCACTTACCAGTCAAAACGTGAACCCGAACAGAAGCCGGTATGGCTGCATTGGGTACACACGTATAGTTTCCGGAATCTCTTAGCGAAGCCCGCGTCAACATTAGGCGGCTCGTTGTACCTGCATCAGTTTTTTCGGTTTCCAAGCTAATTCCGCCGCGCAACGAATCAAAGTCGACAATCGCTGAGCCATGATACCTGTAATGTTCAGCAGTTCAGCTAGCTTATGTACATATGTACTTACACTCTGAGACAGATTTACCACAATACAGATGATGCATGTACATTGACGGAACATGCCAGCGCAATGGTACTATCTCGTTTCACATGTATTTCTGTCGAGCCCAAAATTTTCGCTCGAGCTGCTTTAATGTTTAAATGTGTAAAAAAAAAACAACAAATTTTCGTGAAAATATAAAATATTAAAAAAAAATTAATTTTTATACCCTGAACCCATTTGAAATTGGCAATTCAAGGTATAATGGGTTTGTTGAAATGTATGTAACAGGCAGAAGGAAGCATGGCAGACCCCACAAAGTATATATATTCTTTGAATTTTTGTTAGAATGTCCGTATATATAGCGTAGAAATCGAGTTTATCTCCAAAAATCGATAACTCATCCCGTTATTTGTATCGATTAAAAATCCTATCGAAGATCAGGTATATAATTATGTCTGCTACGTCTTTAAAGCTAGAGTCACTCACTAACTTTTCTTGTGGATGTACTTTCTTCTTTCAGATTATGATTATAATATGGATAGGCATGCATTTACCAAAGCACAAGTCTCTAGTATTTGAAATACGCCTTTTACAAACATAGAGGTGATGGGGTGAATATAGGGGTGGGGGTAATTTTAACAAAAATCGAAATTGTATAAAATACATATAAGTCTACATTTAAAAGCTCTAAAGATGTAGGAAATATAATTTTATAACTAGTTTTCGATACGGTTTTTAATCGATAATAAAATATTAGGAGTAGTTATCGACATTTAGGAAAAACTCGATATGCGTGTGAAATACACGGACCTAGGAAAACAAATTTGAAGTCTCTAGCTCTTATGTCCTCTGAGATCGACGCGTTCAAACATACTGACAGACGGAATGACGGACGGACAGACAGACGGACAGACAGACGGACAGAGCCAAAACGAATCAGATCGTCGCCCTGGTCAAGAATCGATATACTTTGTGGGGTCCGCCACGCCCCCTTCTGCCTGTTACATACTTTTCAACAAAACCATATAACCTGATTTCCCATTTTGAATGGGTTCGGGGTATAACAAATAAGATAGCTCTAGTCGAGTGTGCTCGACTACGAGATCCCCTGAACCCTTCGAGCAACAGCGATTTCACACACACGCACACGCACACGCACACACACATACACACATAAGCACCGCCACATACACACACATACACAAACACATACACACACAAGCACCCACGCATAAACCCGCCTTGGCTGCAGTGGTGGCTTACTATGAGAACTTAATTGTTTAATAACTTTTTTTGTGGACATACGATCTTCATGAAACTTCAGATCGTAATTATAACCATGCACTTGCCAAAGCACAAGTCTCTAGTATTTGAAATACGCCTTTTACAAACATGTTGGTAAGGGGTGGATATAGGGGTGGGGGGTAAATTTTAACAAAACCCGAAATTGTATAAAATGCATGTCACTATACAATTAAAATTTGGAGACTGTAGCTTCAAAGATGTAAGAGATATAATTTTATAACTGATTTTCGATCATTTTTTATCGATAAAGAAGATCGGRATGAGTTATCGATTTTTAATGATATCCGCACTGTGAATACGGACAGGAATATATATACTTTGTGGGGTCTGTCACGCCTTCTTTTGCCTGTTACATACATTTCAACGAAACCATTATACCCTGATTTTTATACTCATTCACGAAAGTGAATTAGTATATTGGTTTTGTGCRATGTCCGTCTTGCTGTCCGTCCGTCTGTCCGTATGAACGCAATCTATTTCGGCTCTATTGAAGCTAGAGGCTTGGAATTGGGAACATATACTCGTGTATATCTATGTCTACGCCCATTAGGGGAGTGGCAAATCGGACCTGAAGATATAGTGATTTTTTTAATTCTGCTATATTTTAGACACTATTGATGCCAGAGATCTGAAATTTTGTACATATACTCGAGCTGACCACACAAGACCAAAAAGTTTTGTCGGGTATATGTCCGCCCGCAGGGGGCGTGGCAAACCGCAAAAGTTGATATCTCCTAAAGTATAATAGCTAGAAGCTTCAAATTGAGATAGTTAAGTTACTAGTAACCTCCTCTATCGATGACCTAAAAAAAATATTTACACCTCTTTTGGGGATAGGCATTCAAACTTTGCAGTTAGGGTACCGTTAGCTCGTTCTAAGAACTAGCCAAAAATGGGGTGTTTACGAGGAATAGGGGCGTGGCAAATCGGGAAAACTGCATTTTCTAACGCGAAACTTAACTAATAAATTGCTGATAGGATGTGAATGAGTATTCCATAGTCGGTAACGCCCGACTGCAACGTTCTTACTTGTTTCCCATTGAAAATGGGTTCAGGGTATAAAATCAAATCAATACATATTGCTGTTTTAATGTCAACGATTAAAATCATTTCAGCTATAAGATATGAAATTATATTTACAAATAATATCTAGTCTCAAAATGTTATATCTAGTTTTAGGTGTATTCTTACAGCATTATAGCATTCTAACATATCTTAAGAATCAAAATTTAGTCGATTTGTACAGGTTTCAATTTTTGGTAGATTTGCAGGCTAATTTGAACCTATTGAAAATGGGAAATCAGGGTATAATATTTATGTGAAAAACTATGTAAAGAGTAGAAGGAAGCATCGCAGAACCCATATATATATTCTTGATCTGGGCGACGAGCTGAGTTGATAACTCATCCGATAACTTTTTTATCGAGAATAACCAAAAAATTGATTTTGTCTTTTCAGCCTAATTTAGACACTTTTAGACCTGGAGACTTCAGATTTATTGTGTATATGCCCCCATATGATCACGCTCTGAAAGTTTCATAAAGATACTCTTACTACAATTAAATTCTCATAATATTGCCCATACTGCAGCGCAGCCGAAGCGCAGTCACTGCTTACTGCGCAGTTGCAGAGCGCGTGTTTATTTATACGTAAGTGCGAATGCAGAAGTGCAGAAGGATTAGAATATCAGCTTGGAGGGTTCAGGGTATCTCCTAGTCGAGCAGTCTCGAGTGGAGCCTTCTTACTTGTTAGTACATGTCTAGCCAAATTGTCTTTGATATATCGTTTTTATTATATACACTTATATTAAAATTTGTAAAAGAAAAATATGTGTTTATTATAAAAATACAAACCTTTAGAGTTATAGTATAGTTTATCTGAATTTCTATTTCTCATATCATATTCAGCTGTAATTGTAATGGGATTGTAAAATGAGAAGGGAAGAAAAATTGCGATCGAATTGAGTTATAGTCATGAATATAAGCAGCATAAACATTAACCCTACCTGTGACTTCCAAAGTAATTGCCAAATTGATCTTAGGCTCAGTATTTACTTGACACTCATATATCCCACTGTCCCGAGTTTGGACATAATCAATCTTCAAGTCCCAGTCGTCACTATTTGGCGGATGTATAACAGAGAACCTTTGATCTCCAGTGTACGTATAAATGTTCGTTGTTAAAATGTGAAGATCTCGCTTACGCATCCACGAAACCTTCATGTGAATTATCAAATTAATACAATCTAATATTATATTTAATTAATAAATTAAATTTAATTAATTAAATTATCTAAAATTCTGCACTCCAAGCTTGTAAAGTTCAGTTTAATGCATAAATTTTATATTTATAATCAATATATGAAACTACGTACAGTTCGATTTCCTTTATTTTTGACCCGGCATCTTAAGATTGCTGTTTCATCGACAACCGCTGAAATATTTCTTGGGCTTATATCGTCAAAATAAGGTCGATTTACATTGGCCAAGTCTAGACAATAAAGGATGATTAATTTGATGATCATTTATAAAGAGATAAACCAATGACGCCATTACCATTGATAATGAGAAATGACGATGCGCTGATTCGCTGAATACTAATATTTAAATGCAATATGAAAAATAGAATCGGCTTGAACTTATTCAAATTGTTTCCATTTGAAGTCGCCATCCTCCGTGTAACGCTTCATCAAAATGTCTAAGCGCTGTAAGATGGGCCTTTGAGTAGCTGCGAAATCAAAGGCAAGAAATACATATATAGTTTTTATACATACATAGTTTTTCATTCAATTCGGCATAAATCAGCTAAATGTCATTTAATATACCTGAGCTCTATTGAGACCCTGTGATCACATTAGTATCTTTTGATTGCGACTAAAGGCAAATGATATTAACATCTGAACCTGACATCCACATGTACTAAATCCCAAGATTCCTGAATTTCTAATAGAAAGTCAAAAGATCAGAAAATTGAATGCACTGATCCCATTGAAAATTTGAAAACGAAAAGCTCTCAAAATATTAGTTCGTTATCGAATTATCAAACTAGAAAACATCAGCGGCAAGGGACTGAATATGAATAAGGATGAACTTTGATCATGAGAATACAGTCGCAGTGGCAGTAAAGTTTATTAGTGCACACCGCAAATGAACAGTGTATATAGTATAGTTACTATTGAAATGACAAATCCTGATATATGCTAGGGAATATTACGTTAATAATAGTCTCGCTGGAACATCTCCACTCGCCAAAAGTTATTCGTTAGCACTGATGCAAAAAAAAAGAAGCTTATGGGAAAAAGAGTCCATGACGACGCCAATAAATGCTACCTGGGCCCCAACATCAAAATAATCACAAAAACCCTGGTACTCACTATTCTGCAAGTCTCAATCAAATTGAAAATCGGAAACCAGGATCAAGCTTCTTTCTAAAAATCGATTTTTTTCTCTTTTTTCACCTATTTCCTTTCAGTATTTCATCTATGTATTTCCAAATGTATTTCCTCTAAGTATTTTTTTAAGTATTTCTTCTAAGCATATCTTTTGAGTATTTCTTGTTAATGAATATCATCTGTTACAATGCGACACGATAGATCGATAAACGTGTGTACCATATCTAGCTGATAGGTACCACCTCTAAGTAGTTAGTCACAAATAAATCATTGCAACGAAAGCACACAAGTGAGGCTTTTTGTATTTCAATTAAATAACTTCCATCAACTCGGATAGAGAAGAGTTTCTATCCAACACTTCTAACTATTTCCTATAAGTATTTTTTCCAGTGTTTCTCCCAAGTCATTAATGCATACATAGCTGAACGATCACACACTTTACTGCATCACTGACCCCCCCATCATGCTGCAGCTGCTGCCCTGATTCAAAGCCTAAGTGACGCTTGAATGTTGAGCCCGGCGCCAGTCGAGCTTTAAGTGACCAATCGGAGCACTCGCTGCTGCTGCAATTGTTATAGCTTCGTTATACTTAAATATAAATATAGACAGAGACAGGCAGACAGAGGCAGGGCAACAGAGACAGAGGGAGATATATAGGCAAACCATTGCAAATCATTACACTAAGGCTGATGTCAGAGTGGCCGCGATAAGCGATGCGATAATATGGAGCGACAATAAACGAGAAGGCTCTACATGCAGATGTACATGTGATCGTTTAAAACATGTCAGAGTGCAAGCAAAGCGAGAAGAGAGCCAAAGTGAGAAGTAAAGCGAGTTGCGAGAAAACATTCCGGAATCGCTTTCTCGATTTATCTCATGATAAAGCTTTTCTGATACGTGAATTTTTGTTGCGTGCTGAGCTTTTTCGTAATTTAAGCTTAAATAACAGTTTGTTTCAAAACTATTTATATTTTTATATATGTATTTGCTCTTAATTACACTTGAAAGTATTGATAGTATGGGATAGATCCCGTTGCTTTTTATACCCTGAACCCATTGAAAATGGGAAATCAGTTTTGTGAAAAAGTATGTATGTGTGTATGTATGCAGAAGGAATCATCGCAGACCCCATAAAGTATATATATTCTTGATCAGGGCGATGAGCTGAGGTGATATAGACCTGTCCGTCGGTCCGCCCGTCCGTATGAGTGCGTCGATGTCATGAGTTATAAGAGCTAGAGAGCTGAAATTTGGCATGCATACTCGTGTGTAGCAGAGCGAGTTTATCATATTTTTTCGATAACTCATCCGATAACTTTTTTATCGAGAATAATCGATTTTGTTATTTCATCCTAATTTGAACACTTTTAGACCTAGAGACTTACTGTGTATATACAGTTGATTGATAGGAAGATTTTGTAATTTACAGATTTCGGATACCACGCCCCCTTCGCCCCATTTCAAGTACTAGAGACTTGTGCTTTGGAATGTACACACATTTTTACCATATAATTACATTCTAAAAGTTTCATTAAGATCGTATGTCTACAAAAGAAGTTATTCAACAAGCCCAAGCGCTGTCGCTGCTTACTGCGCAGTTAGCAGAGCGCGTGATTATACGTGCGTGTGGGTGCGCGTGTATGCATGTGTTCATAAAAGAAGTGCAGAATAAGTAGAATATCAGCTTGGAGGGTTCAGGGTATCTCGTAGTCGAGCAGTCTCGACTAGAGTCTTCTTACTTGTTTTCATGATAACATTGCTACTGAGATTAAAATGTGAACACTCGCAATATCTACAATTTGAATACTCGCAATGTTTCTCTCTTTGCGGATAGCTTTCATAGCTCTATCATGTCATCGCTTTGCGGATCGCTGCGATAATTATCGCTCATAGCATCGCATCGCTTATCGTGGCCACTCTGACATCAGCCTAAATGTTGATATGCTAATTAGCTTAATTCATTTTTATAGTTAGTTCTTTTAGTTCTCTTAAAGACTAGGACTTCTGCATAGTCTGCTTCAATTCTGGCCATTCCATCCCATAATCATTTTCAATGGATTTATTACAAAGAAGTGAAGAATAATTGAAATATCAGGGGATCTCGTAGTCGAGCAATCTCGAGTAGAGCTTTCTTACTTGTTTTGTTATTGCTTTATTTATTTTATTCAGTTAAAGTTATTCAGTTTGACTCGGAGAGCCACATATGTATTTTAAAAAGAAATATCAGATCCGAGAATTTGCAGAAATATCATTAAAATCAAATATAACAGTATCAAATAAAGAGCAGTATGTGTGTATGCATATAATCTGTGCACCTTAACGAATCAAAATTTATCAGTAATTTAATCAACTACTCTTTCTCATGGTATTTGGGCGCCAAGTGCAGTGGGCTGGACTCGTCCCTGATGGATAATGTTGCTTATCTAACTTACTTATTTTGCAAGCTGAAACCTTATCCACCTTCTATAGAAGCCATGGAAATTCTTATTTATAACTTTTCCAATAATATACATATATAGAATCCTTAAATTCCTTTGTTTAACTTTCCGTTCATTAAATTTTAAAATTTATACACTGAGAACAATTTGAAGTGAACTACAACAATATTGATTCCAATCTGTATTGCAAAAATTTTATTCAATATATTTAATCTTGCGATTTGTATTCACAATCCCTTTTGGCGACAACTGCGCAGCTTTGCCTAATTCAACCACCACAACAAAGATGGACGGCGCATTCTTGTATAAGGGTTGTCTCCTCCATAAAGCTCAAGCGATATGGCAGCCCTAAGTGTTGCCAGACGCCTCAACAAAGAAGTCTGTACAATCGCTGTAGTAGTTGAATTGCTTAAATTAAGTAGTAGTACAAACTGTAAGAATAATGGTCGAAATTTTAGTAATAGCAGTAGAAATTATAGTAATAGCAGTAGTATATGTAGATGAAACTTAAAAATAGAAATAGACCTTTATCTATACATAGTACAAATATAATGGAAGTAATTGTTGCAGTAGTAGATTTAGTTGTAGCAGTAGTTTTTTATAGCCTGAACCTATTGAAAATGGGAAAATGTGTAATATTTTTATTAAAATTTATGTACATATGTTTGTGACAGACCCCATATATGAATATTTACACTTGAACGATAAATATATGTCGGGAAGGTAATAACGAATAGCCTTATAGGCTGTACTACTCCATTTTGACTGCACTGACAGAGCACACATACCAGTTGCGCTCTTTCTTTAAGCCAATACACGAATTCTAATGAATTGATGGACGAATCAGACAATATAAGGGTAAGCCTTTGAGCTTTCATATGGGAGTAAATTCTTCACACTTGGCATGAGAGGAAGGAAGCTTATAAATATGCTTTAAGATAATTAAATATGATTTTTTGACAATATATATGGTAAAATGGAATCATTGCCGCAGCAGACTTGATGAGTTTACCGACTACCTACATGAGTAAGCATAACTACATCGGTATAATAATAAGCCCATATTAACATTACCCTAGGTAAATGGGATTTAGATAAATTAATTTTTTAAACGTTTAATTGAAAAGTTTAATGTTTTTCATAATTATATATTATCGCTTAATAGACGCTAAAAAACAAACGCAATCAATCAACCAATAATGAACTGAAATATTAATCTCGTATATATGCGCTAACAATCAGTTGAGCATGTCGTAAATCGAAATCGGAAATCAAAATTTAATTAGATCGATATATTCAGAAGTCAGAATATGGCAGACTTTCTGTTGCAGCAACTGGCACTGTTTTTGGATAGTAGGCACTCTGCTGGATATTGTTTGATCCTTTGTTCCAGCCCCGAGCGCAGTTGTTAAAGCTTTGATTGCCACCATGCATCATTTGTTGAGATCCAGCATTATGCGACGTATGCGATCCATAAGTAGGCGATGAAATCGGCGATCGACCCTCACGGCCATCAGTACCAGCAGACAGGAAAGGAGTTGGAGACACATTTTGCACACCTCTATAGACTGGCTGTTTGTTAACATTGAGAAGCCGTTGATTTCTCTGATCCGATGATTCCTGAAACTTCGATAGCTTATCGAAAGACAAAGGGGACGGACTAAAGGTGACCTGTGTTCCAGACTGCTGCGAGCCGGATAGCACCTTTTGATAACTAGTTGGATTATATAGCTGCTGTTTGGGTGGCACTGAATTATAAAGACCAGATTTTTGATTCGCTACGGGGAAGCTATTATATGGTGGTGGTTCATATGCCTTTGAGGAATAGTCGATTGGCTTTGGTGAGCTCTGGAAGTTATGTGTTGGCAGGACAGGCGGAGGTGCATAGCTGGCCAAAGATATTTCCTTAGGTACATACAAGCCTATAAGAGAGGTGAGAAATAAAAATAGGTTAATTTAATTGTATACATATAATATGCATATCCTTTCAACATTCACTTTATATATATAAATACAAAACACATTCTAAAGGTAGGTTCATATTTCATATTAACGAATAATTAGAGTTATAGCAGAAAGGTGATCTGATAAGAAAAGTACTCAACGCCTAACTGAAATTTTGGAATATGAAGCAAGGAAAAAAACAACTTCTGTTCAATGGTTTTTAAATTTTAATCAATACAAATAATCTTCTTAGGATCAGGGCTATACATATATCTTAACAGCACGACACAAATCGGGGAACACTTTTCGTCCATGCCTTTGTTTGTCGCTCCGTCGATTATATGATTAATTGAATCTCTCGACGTATTCAAATGTTGGAACTGCGATTGTTTCTTATCATTTGGAAATTCGCGTTGGTGTTTTTGAATTGGTTCAGGTTCTCTTAGAGATTGCTGCTCGAATGAGAATATTAATTCCCGTACATTAACTGATTCACCAACTTCTTCAGCACTACTCCCTTGTCCGGCCACAGGTTCTTCAACTTCTGGATGTTTGGTTAGCGTTATATTCTGTGCGCTCATATTTCTGTTACATTTACCCATAGGCAAATTGAAATTTGATTTCAGATTTAGTTGTTTCATTTGCTGTTGCATAAAGCTTTGCTGAAATTGTTCTAACTGCTGTAGTCTCTTGTGAATGTCATCATTTAAATTAAATTCAGGTTGATGAAATTGGGCATTAATTCCATAAGCCTCGGGACCAAGAAGTATCTGATCGTTACCGTAATAATATTGTGTACCTAGATCCTGAATATTCTGATTTATGAATTCCTGTTGTTCTAGAGTTTGATAATAATACTCTGAAATATTTAGATTTTACATTGACTATAAAAGCAAATTTGTTTCTAGAAAAATAATAGAATTTTTCAACTAATCTTTGAATCTAAGAAAAAACATTTTTTAGCATTTACACTTTTAAAGATATTTTTTTACCTCTTGGTAGTTCGACATTGCGACCTCCCCAGCCTTGAGCAACACTTGGCTTATATGCCAGTTCTCTTTGTGGATTGGAGGACTGAATCGGCTGACTCTTGGCTCGAGAATCAAGCGACTGGAATTTAGAAGAGATTACTTTTAGTTGTTTGTAAATTTAAAAAAGTGAAAGAGTGAAATGCGTTTGAATAGAAATTGAAAGCTAAATTAAGTTAGTCGATTCGATTATATGATTATAGTTCTATATTGTTTTTAGTAATCAGAACTACAAGGAATACTAAATTATATATTCTTTAAATGCTACAATTTTATACTTATAACGTATATATAAGATTATATAAGATTTTTAGATACCTACACTTTTATACGAATCCTGAGTATAGTTCGATTGGTTGACATATGAGGCCGGCAAAGGTGAATCGGTAAAGTCTTGAGTGAAATGCACAGGTGATGGCTGGGTGGCAATGGGTGTCGGGCTTCTGTATTGGGATTGATCCAAAAATGCGGTGCTTGCCGAACCGGTTTGTAAAGCCGCCTCCCACGGGGATTTGACCACCTGAACGCCAGGCCTTGAGTATTTCTCAATTAGTTGATCCTGATGCAGATTTAATTGGACACGGTGCTTGCCAGCATCGGAATACGCTGGCACGATGCTTGGTGATGCAGCAGCCGGTCTATTGACCTGATATTGTTGATAATCTGGAATACCAGATGGACTGTGAATTCCGGCATTTGTCTCATCGACTACCCAATTGTCAGCCTTTCTCCGACGTTTCGCAAAGAGCTCAGCTCCTTAATGATTTGCCAAATCACGGCGATTGCAGTTTTTGGTTTAAATTTATAATTATTATAATTGAGCAGCAAGCAGGCCAAGGCCAAGGCGATTGGCGGTTGTAAAAGCATGTTAAATAAAGGAAAGTTATTATTTCAGTTAATTTAGAACATTTTTCATTTTAATACTATAGAACTTTATTATACTTGAGCACTAATTCATATAATCCCATAAAGCTATTCGATAATCGATCACTAAGTCAAAGTTTTCAAATTAGAAATCCAAAACAAATATTAATATTTTTCTGATAAGCTGTTTCCTTTCCTTCTATATGTCCAAAATTTAAACTAAATCGGAAAATCCATACCTCTTTTAAATTTACATTAAAAAAAGTGATAATTTTCTATAATCAGATTGATCTATAATTTATACATGCTGCATTCCAAAATAAGTTGGAAAGTTAAATTCCTTCCTGACATTTGGTTCAGGTTGATGTGAAATTATTGTGCCTAAGGTGAGTGGTTGGTACAAAGGGGATTTCCGAGCAAAGAGCTCATAAACTTATGGTCATTCGTCTTTATTCCAAGATTCCAAGAGAATTGTGAGATTTCATTACAATTTTGTATCACAGCATTTTGAGGACTTCTTTGCGTCGCATCAGTCGAATTTGGGATGAATACCGAAAAGAGGGACGCTGGCGTCTAGTGCACGATAATACACTTACTGACTGACTTTTTGAGTAGCCATCATGAGTCACTATATTCGCCTAATATGGCTTCTATCTATTCAGAAACCTGCCAACTAAAATGCTAGTACCGAAATTATTAGATAGCCCAAAACGTTGAATCGAGACCGGAGTAGACTATTTTGAATACATTCACTTGAGTTTATCAGTATAAAGCTCCATTCGTTTTATCTACTTTAGTCAGTCTCCTTGATTTTGGAAAGCATTTTGTGGAAATGGCAAACCCTATACATAGTAAAGTATCAAAATTACTGTATGTTTGTATAGTTAATTACCTCGACCTTTATGCAGTTGCAACGCAGTGATTAGCTCAGCACAATTGTCGGGCGATAAAAGGCCCGATTCAATGTTGATCGATTCTTTTAATGAATTATAGTCACGCATTTGTCCACGTGGATTCATGACTAGTTTTAATGGCATTTTATCCAGCTTGATTAGTTCCGGCTGCAGCGAATTATCTTCCGCATTTTCTTTGCTTAAAGAGCGCGTTTCGATGATATCTTCATCTTCTCCTATTTACAATATATA